AATAATTTCCTTTTTCATGTATAAAATTTTTATAGCGAACTATTTTGAAGAAGCTAAAAATTGATGTATTTCAATTAACCATTTTAGAAAAACGGTAGGAATTTCCAAAGAAACGAAGCCGAAAATGACTTCTGGACATCGAAATCTACAAGAAAATGTCTTCAACTGATTTTCGAAAATAGTTGAAAAATGGTCAAAAATGTCAAAAGTGCCAAAATCAGTCTTATCTTATCAAATACTATCCCCACTCACCCACCCTCTGTTTTCTTGGGTCTGTCATTTGCCAAAATCAGTCTTAACTTAGCAAATACTAGCCCCGCCCATTCGCCCTCTGTTTTCTTGGAAGGTATGTCATCTGCCAAAATCAATCTTATCTTAGCAAGGACTAGCCCCGCCCACCCACCCTCTTTTTTCTTGGAAGGTAGGTCAACTGCCAAAATCAGTCTTATCTTAGTAAGTATTAGCCCCGCCCACCCCGCGTCTTCTCATTCTGACGACTATTCTTGTTTCTGTTTAGTATAAAATCATTCATTTGATCCAGATTGGATAAAATCAATCACTGAAAATGAGACAGGGTGGGTGGGCGGGGGAAATTATATGTGTGGGAATGAGAACTAATAAATTATAAAATCTAGGACATGAAAAAAGTAAAACATAAAGTATAATTTTGAAACAGTTGTCTTTTATGAAACAAAAATTTATAATAATTACCTTTTTTATCTACAAAATTTTTATAGCGAGCTATTTTGAATAAAGTGTAAAAATTGCTGTATTTCAATTAAATTCCGAAGGAACGAAGCCGAAAATGACTTCTGGATATAGAAATCCACAAGAAAATGTCTTCAAAACTAATTTTCGGAAATAGTTGAAACATGGTTGAAAATGTCAAAAGTGCCAAAATCAGTCTTATCTTATCAAATACTATCCCCGCTCACTCACCCTCTGTTTTCTTAGGTCTGTCATTTGCCAAAATCAGTCTTAACTTAGCAAATACTAGCCCCGCACACCCGCCCTCTCTTTTCTTGGAAGGTATATTATTTGCCAAAATCAGACTTATCTTAGCAAGTACTATCCCCGCCCACCCACCCTCTTTTTTCTTGGAAGGTAGGTTGTTTGCCAAAATCAGTCGTATCTTAGTAAGTACTAGCCCCGCCCACCCCGCGTCTTCTCATTCTGACGACTATTCTTGTTTCTGCTTAGTATAAAATCATTCATATCATCCAGATTGGATAAAATCAATCCCTGAAAATGAGACAGGGTGGGTGAGAGGGGGAAATTACATGTGTGGGACTGGAAACTAATAAATTATAGAATCTAGGATGTGAAAAAAGTAAAACATAAATTATAATTTTGAAACAATTGTCTTTTATGAAACAAAAATGAATAATAATTACCTTTCTTATCTACAAAATTTTTATAGCGAGATATTTTGAACAGACTGTAAAAATTGCTGTATTTCAATTAAATTCCGAAGGAAAGAAGCCGAAAATGACTTCTGGATATAGAAATTTACAAGAAAATATATTCAACTAATTTTCGGAAATAGTAGACAAATGGTCTAAAATGTCAAAAGAGCCAAAATCAGGCTTGTCTAATCAAATACTTTATTTTTAGTATTTTTATGTTACAGTTTAAAGTGTCGTCATCAAAGTGTTCGCCACATTCCTAAAATACATATAAAATTCAAGCACAATCGGTCCGGTAGTTTTAGAGATTATCTGTCTAATGAAATCGATATAGATGACAGACACACGGAAACGAGAGACCTATTTTTCACATAACGGCGGTTGAAAAAACGTGAAAGTAGCCATTCGCCGGACATATCTTATTACAATATTTTCGTAGCTTACGTTTATGAAGTTTAATTTAAAAAAATTACCTCACCTCTAAAAGACAATACAATTTTTTGAAAATTTATGTAATTTGATTTTTCGAATTTTATTATTTTATAATAACTATAAGTTAAAATAAGTAGGTAAGTTTTCACATATTTCAAGTAAATTTTTCCATAAAAAAAATTGTTCTGACATCATGAACATTCTAGACACTTATGGTATACTTTTCATTCTTGATTTAATCAGTAAAATAAATTGCCTCATTCAATTTTTTTTTAAGTCATTCTGTGTATTTCAATTCTAAATCAGGTGTCTCTCGCAACAACCATTTTCAATTTCTTCGAAAAACGATAAAATTAAAATAATGCTTATAATTTAAAGTATAAATATGCATGGATTCCTAAAGTACAGGTAAACCAGTCACAGTGTAAGGAAAAAATGAGTTTTTGTTATGACGTCATCAGCGTTTTAACAAGGGCCCCTATATTAATTTGAATAGATGACGGATTAATCAATAAAAAATATACTAATAAACAAAATAATGTAGATTCATAGACCACAAGTACAAGGGTATACTTATTATTTCATAAAATTAGGATAACCTTAATTGCAGACGGAAACGGGAGACCACTTTTTTTGTAGTCTAGGGTACTCCTTTTTTCCAAAATTCTAATTGTGGTAATTTTCTTTGAGATTGCAATTCTATATCCATACTTTTTTCTTCTCGGTTTCTTGTTTTCTTAGATTTATAGTTGCTATTGTAATGAAACTTCATTAGCAACGTAATTAACAAAGTCTTTAACCACCCCATCATTAAACTATTGCTTTGGAAACCCTACACAATACTCCAATAGGTAACAGGTATCAGAAAATAATAAGTAATTTCTACTACCGGTTATTTGAGTTAGAAAAACTGACATTCGCTTTCTTTTTAATCTTCGTCTTATTAAACATACCCCAGATCCCTCCAACCACATCTAAACCAATACTTCTCCACCTTATTTGCCTTCTTCTTCAATTAACTCAAAATCAACTTCATTTCCCCTTTCCCAAACAATCCACAATTCTTCCAATAAAAAACCTATCCCACCTAAATCTCCTCCTTATCCCGCCCCATCTTTAAACATCCTCCACCCGCGAAAATTCCTCAAACATATTTAACACGTTATCCGTTAGCACACCGGATTAACGCGGATGAGCAATCGATACCGCATACATCAACCTGTAACCTCCACTTTCAGATAAAGCAACTCGTTCGGACAATCAATAACCAAGGTGTCTGATTTGGATCCTAACTCGACAACACTCCACCTCTAATAAAATCCACTGCCGTCGAAAACCGGAAGGGCGAAGACCCGGTCGAGGGTCATCTCGCCTCGGGTTCATACAATTAGGATGCGGAATCAATGGGGCCAATTACCATAGATCTTAGCAAAAAAGCGACCGAAATAGATCATCGAATCTCCAGCTAGACGCGCATTCAGACAGCTCCAAAAATAGAGCGAAGGCTGGGGATTAGTGACTCTTAAAACCTTTCCGGATAAGCTTAATTTAGAACCGTATCAACGGTTTACTGCATGGGGGCAGAGTTGCTCGGAAGACTCCCGAGCACTTCGAGAATGATTGCTTTTGTTATCTGGTGGAGATTATTTGTCGATTTTAATTATGACGTGCAGCTAATTTGGCTAAGCGAGCAAGTCGCACTGGCTGTTTCTAGAATGCGCTCCAATATTTTCAGTCATAATCAATAGTCTGAGGAATTTCCAATTAGTACAGAAGAATTCAATGGACTGAGAAACGAATTCCTAGAATTTTGTAAACAACACTCTACTTATGATTTCTAAAATTGCTGTTTTTGCTCTTAGCTCCGTCAAAATATCGTTTACGTCGCATGCAAAATAGCTTCTCGTCAAATGTTTGATAAGTGGTTTCTACGTTTCGGTTCTGATAGCATCTTTCAATTTTATTATGAATTTGGGGTAGTGTAATCGAGAAAGGAAAATTGAGAATCGATCCACGCTGGCGGTATTAACAAGTGTTTGAGCTCCAAAAATAACTCCGAAGAATAGTTTTCCTCCAGGAATCGTCGAAACCGAGTTTTGTTTTATTTTATCAAAATCAGTCGGTTTATTGCGGGCGTTTTCAGAACTGGTTGTAATGTGAACACTGAATTATAATAGCAACCACTTCGATGGGTAAATACTCTAACTGCTTCTATATTTACCAAACAAAGAGCTTTTCCGACGAAACCGGATGCCACACTATTCCAATACGTGCCACCATGGTATGAAAATTTATTTGTTCTATTTTTCCCCGGTCGTCGACAAACATTCGCAGTCATCCTGACAGTGCTTTTGAAAAATTGAAATATAATTTTCTCCACCATCGCAATCAATATTGAGTGCGTTGTAGTCAATTTTTCTCCCTGCGCGTCGCCACAACCCCTTTCAAACAAGATTGATTATCGAGCATTTATTTTACGGCACATTTAAATGGTGTTTAACCTCTCACGTGACAAATTCATCAGACCCTCCCCTACAAGGCTCAGTAATATTTTTACGACCCCCGTTATAGCCGGAGGCCCTTTTTTCAGTGGTTGAAGAGTTGTATATTTTTTATGAACACGGATTTGGAGTAGAGAACACGATACTAAATTCTAAGGGTTTGGGGCTATATCCATTTTTCTTTTCATCGCGTTGTAACGACCGAAGCAGATAATTGATAAGAAGCAAAAGCCGCCCTTGATGGATTTGTTCTGCGGGAACACGATCAACATTTCAATTAAACCTTCTTGCAACTGACCGTTTATAGCACCTGGGGCCGCTTTGTGTTCGCTGGCTTTTAATTAATGTCGTTCGATGGAAAAATATCGGATTTTGAAACATACGCTCAAGGCGGAAGTGGGTCAGAGTTTTTAAAGGCGGTTTTATGGACCACTTAGTCTTTATCTGAACGCATAAAGTATTCGATTCGCAGTTATTTTGATGCAGCGATTCGTCTCGTTATAATTTTAAGTCTTATTTGTGAGCGACTCTGCTTTCAGCAATTTGTATTTAAAACGTTAGATAAATAACGCGGATTTAATTTTAGATGGAATTGCTATTTTATGTCGAAACTGGCTCGTTGTTCGCTTTAACCCATTGTAACTATTTTTGTTTCTTTCAGGGTTTCGATGGATCACATGGTTTCGGGCTTTAAATAAAGGATCGACATTCAGTAGCAGGTATGTTTTTCAATTTCTGCCCGAGATAATTCGTACCTTGCTAAAATTATGCAAATGTCACGCAATTTTTTCGGGGGATATCGCCCGCATCTTCCTGCCGTATTATTTTACTTCCAGCTTCTAATTTCGTTTTATTGCTTTAAATATAAAAGCTTCTTTAGAGTATGTAATATGAAAAGTTCGAGCTCTGTTTGCTTTATGGATTTTTGAATACATTAACATAAATTGTTTATCGACACTGGCTTTCAGAGAGCGTTTGTGTTTTCGGCGGTTTCAAGGTAGCAGTATTTAAAAATGTTTCCGTAGTGATTTTGGCACCGCTCGGGTTGGAAGAAAATAACTGACGGCTTCTCGTTAATTGATAATAAATCATCAAGTTGAAACAAAAATGTCAGGACTAAGTGGCGGGGAAAATTCTATTGATAGCCGAGGGGTTTAGTTGCCGACGCGGGTAATTTATTCCAAGTTTTATCGGCAAAAACACACAAAGTTTTATCAGCGTTTTTCCAAATCGGAATCCTGACAGACGTACTGAAATAAAAATAGAAAGAGAATAATGAAATGGCTAATTATTTTTCGCTCTGTGGCTTTCGGGGACTCTGAAAAATATGTAAATAGGCAAATTTGAATATTTTTTTACTAATCCACAAATGTCAGTTTAATGCCTGCTTTGTACGAAATTATTTATTTGGTGTGTAGAGATTAAAACCTACAGGAAGCTATTTGTCCATAGCAGAAAAAATAGCTGACTTTCAGATAACCACATTTTCAGTTGTCATAAAATCTAATTTTGTGTTAAACTTAACGACTTTTGTTTATAGCAGAGTTATTCTTGCAACACTATTTAACGTTTAACACTCTAATATTAGTTATATTTGATATTTTAGAATCTTCTTAAAACTTTGTCTATGTTTAATTTTTTTTATTTAAATAGTTTAGTAGACCCGAAATTCTTCTGCTTTTGAATTCTTCCAAGGAACAAATTTTTCAATCCGTTTCTTTTAATATTGACGGAGTTAAGTCTAGATTACGTTTATTAATATTTTTTAGACATATATTTAATATAATTAAATAAAATATTCCTTTATTATTAGAACGTGCCGTAGATCAAAGGCTAAAGAACGATTTACTTATTGTGAATAATAAGTCAGATAATCAGTTAGAATTTCGTAAACATGTTTATTCGGTACATAATTTTCAAGGTTTTATTTAATAAGCTTTCTTTCCTTTAATAAAGCTTTATCTGGATGTTAAAATCTGTTTTAATACATTTCTGACTTCGTTATAAGCTTAAAAACACCTCCAGCTGAGAAGATAAATAAGAATCAACAAACGTAGAAATTTTATGTACATTCTACAGGGTTGATATTTTGGTCTTTCGAGCCGGACGTAGCAACAAATATATTGATTATAAGAAAAATTGATACCTCAGCTTTTAAGAGAACCTAGCGAAAAACTCCGTTCGACTTATCTCATTTTCTGCCGTACATTTCCCGGCTTTAGTTCTGTCGGTTTCAGTCCCATTAGTCTCAACCTCCACGCTCTTTAAAATTTTTCAATTTTTCTGTTCGCTCTAGCATACTCCGCAGATATTCCATAACAAGTATTTACTCAGCCGGCGATAAGCATAATCAAATCTCACTACTGCGCTATTAAAACACAGCCGACTCAAGAATAAATTTACCGGAGCGAACCGCCCGGAATATGCCCCATCAATTATCGCTCAACGGAAATAAAGTTGCTTAAAAAGGCAAAAATCCTGTTAATATCGTGGCCGGAAGAACTGCGAAGCGTAATTATTTCTTTTTCAGTTAAGCCCAAATTGGAAGTCATCACTTTAAAAGTGAACACTTGTCCGACTAAGTGGCGAAGTTCGTTTACTTTAAAATTGATTAAAACAACTCAAACTTTTCGGAATTTTGAGCGAGTTTTGTCGGGCTTTGCGAAACAGGTGCTGGAAGTTTTAATCGACGTCATTTTCGTGTAATTACGGCGTTTTTATTTATGGGGGAGTTTTGCAAAAAGGCGATTGAATGAGGCGCTTGCAGGATAAAGCTATAAGTTATTTATCAAATGCCGCTCTAGTTTCTCAAGGCGAGTTGCTTTTCGTGTTATTTTACGGTTAAAAATTCATGCAGATATGCTGCAAAAAACGACTTTCAAATCGAGTTAACCTCGAAGGGAATTTAAAAAGTTGGCAAAGGCGTGGGTGATGGGTGGTTGAATCTGCACTGAATGCACTGGATTGAATTCAGAGGAATTGAATGTTGTGAAAATATCTCTAAATTTTTAAGTGAAATCGCCACATTTTTTTATATATAAAACTTGGAAGCATTCTAGAAATATCGAAAATTTTCTAGAAGCTTTCTATTTACAAAGAATTTTAACTTCATTTTGAAACTCAGGTTGAAGAAAGAAATTAATTAACATTAATAATTAAAGAAACCTATTGACAACATGTCAAGAAGGTTCTAGAATATTCTGTTGAAAAGGAACGCCAATGTCGTGACAGTGTTAACCAGTTCTGTTGAAAGTGGTAGAAAAATATAATACGAAAGAAGATTTAGTTGAAGAAATAAAAAAGGATCATCTATGGAGTTTTGAAAGTTTTTATTTACAGCTAGAAATAACAGAAAGTTCGATTAACTCAATATCTAGTAACGGTGAAATCAGAAATAGAGATAGAAAACCAAGACCATGCGTCGGGAAGGCTGTAAAAATCTCGAATAAAGAAATTCTAGAAAACTTCTGTTGACAGAACACCGACCACAAAAAAAAAATTGAATTCACTGTAAGACTTGGCTTGAATGAATATGTTGTTAATTTTACTTTGGAAAGATTCTAGAGGAATTTTATTTTGAGAAAAGAACATCTAGACGAATTTCAACTTCTAAGCACAACTAGATTAGAAGGGGAACACGTTGACAATTCTCTTTGTAAATGGAAAAAGCACAGGAATTTCAAGTCTATTAAACGATTTATTTCAAAAAAGGAAATTAAACTTAGATAAAGTTTTAAGAAGATTCTATAATATTCTTTTGGGCAGTACCTGCTAAAATAAAACTGATTTTGGCTAATGACATACTATCTGAGTAAAGAGAGGGTGGGTGGGCGGGGCTAGTATTTGCTAGATTAAGACCTTTTAAGAAAATAAATGGTAGAGGGTATGTCATTTGGTAAAATTAGTCTTATCTTTGAAAGTATTGGCCCCGCCCACCCACCCTTTATTTTCTTCGAGAGTATAACATTTGGCAGTATCAGTTTTATCTTAGCAAGTACTAGTTCCACCCGCCCGCCCTTTATTTTCTTAGAGGGTATGTTATTTGACAATATTATCCTTATCTTGGTAAACAATAACCCCGCCCACCCACTCTTTATTTTCTTAGAAGGCTAGAACTTGCTCAGATAAGACTGATTTGGCAAATGAAATACCCTCTAAGAAAAGAAAGGGTGGATGGGCGGGGCTAGTACCTGCTAAGATAAGACTGATTTTGGCAGATGACATACCCTCTAAGAAAAGAGGGGGGGGGGTTGGCGGGGCTAGTACCTGATAAGAAAAGACTGATTTTGGCAGATGACATACCCTCTAAGAAAAGAGGGGGTGGGTGGGCGGGGCTAGTACCTGATAAGAAAAAACTGATTTTGGCAGATGACATACCCTCTAAGAAAGGAGAGGGTGGGTGGGCGGGGCTAGTACTTGCTAAGATAAGATTGATTTTGGCACATAACATACCTTCCAAGAAAACAGAGGGTGGGTGAGCGGGGATAGTATTTGATAAGATAAGACTGATTTTGGCAAATGAGAGACCTAAGAAAACAGAGGGTGGGTGAGCGGGGATAGTATTTGATAAGATAAGACTGATTTTGGCACTTTTGACATTTTCGACCATGTTTCAACTATTTCCGAAAATTAGTTTTGAAGACATTTTCTTGTAGATTTCTATATCCAGAAGTCATTTTCGGCTTCCTTCCTTCGGAATTTAATTGAAATACAGCAATTTTTACAGTTTGTTCAAAATAGCTCGCTATAAAAATTTTGTAGATAAAAAAGGTAATTGTTATTTACTTGCTAAAATAAGAAAAATACTGTGTGCACAAATTCCACTGGTAAAAAACAGCAGAAGAAGGTCCTCGTACCGTATTATGCTAGAAACCGATGTAAGAACTTTTGACAACGTTCCTGTTCTATATACAGAAAAAAAAACGAAAAAGGAGTAAAAACATGGAGAAGAAAAACAAAAATAGGGAAGAAACAGTTCTTAAGATGGAGTTTAGTGTCAAGTCCTGAAGACAAATAGGTCTAGAGAACTTGTACAGGACTTCCCTCACACTCAGAGGGGTAACCTAATGCTTGTCAGGTCATGGCGGGTCAGGTGAAATTTGTTTGGTGATAGTTTTTATCGAAAATTAATCAATAATCTATGTGAAAAAATGTAGATATAAAATATTAAAAAATATATATATTTAACAAATAAAAAATAATTTAGCGTCACAAGGACCTTTGTAGTATTATTATAATAAAACAAACCCAAGCAGCCTCACTGACGATTCGTTTGTTAACATTCTTATGAGACAGCGTTATTATAAAAAAAACAGTAAGAATGCGAGCGCAGCGAGCATGTTTGGACGTTATATAAATTACTCGTCAGTGTGCCTGAGAAACTAAAATATCAATACGAAAAATGTTTAGGTTATTTATCAAAATTGGGGAGACTATCAATCTAAACGTGCTCGCTGCGCTCGTATTCTAAGGGTGTGGTTTGGAGGCTTATTATTGCAATCAAACCCAAACAACTTCGCTGCACTTCTATAGAATAAAGTGGAAAAAGGAAATTAAAAGACGAGCGCAGCGAGCACGTTAACGTGTGATTTAAAAAAAAATATTTGTTGGTGTCCCTGAGAAGCTAAGAACAATTTTGTTGTTATTTAAAAATGTGAGTTTAAAGATTGTTACCACTAATGTCTTTGGGACTGAAATATCGTGAATGTGCTCGCTACGC